CCCGGCCACAGCCTGCAGGGTCCCCTCGGCCGGGCCCTCCTCCGGGGCCGGGTGCGGAGGGGAAGCTGCGGCCTCCGTGTCGGAGTCGGAAAAAAGCTCCTTCAGCGTCTTTTTGGGCCACTGGCCCTGAATACTTGACCAGACATCTTTGCGATCTTTCGCTCGGCTGTTCTGAAGTCTTTCATCCGAGTTGTTTAGAAGTTTGATCCTTTTTTCTGCCACTTCTGAAAATCCCGAATAGAAACCAGTCGTCCGCAGAGATTTTCTCTTTTCCTCCAAACCGTTGTATTTCTTGGTTGGTGTCAGCTTTGCTTTTGATTTTTCTTCTTCGTCTTCATCAGAAGAGCTGTTGCTACTGTTTTCTACGCAAAGTGAGTCTTTGTTCTTGGCCTTGTCGTCCTTTTTGCTGGGCGACCCGGTTTTTGCACACTCCTCTGTGTTGCAATACCTTCTTTTCCCGCGTTTGACCTGTGGCTTTGAGGATTTATCGGGGGTGTCTTTCTTGACATCCTTTCTCTTTTTTGTGACTTCATCTTCTTCATAATCCGTATCTTCAGACAATCCTTCCATATCTTTTCTTAACCTTTCTGGAGATTTCGACGCTGGTTTAGATATTACCAAATCTGCATGGACCTTGCTTTCTTCTAGCAAAAATGAACTGTTCTGCTCCTCCTTTGAAAGAAGGTCATTTCTGGCGTGGGCCAAATACTCAGTCTTCGATTCCTCTTTGCCAGTACTGTCCATGTTGTGAGCACCTGTCTCATCCTCCTGCTCACTGTCTTCAGAACTTTCAGAAGCTGGAAAAGAAAGAAGAAAAATGATGTATGACAGGAAGATTAGCAGTATCTTCTCTGCGCCGTGCACTTTATATATTAGCTCCTCTGTTTATAGCCACCCTGCTCGCCAGGTTTTAATCCATTTTACAGGTGAGGAAACGAAGCTTCTGAGAGCTAAGACACTCACCAATAGCGGAAATGCCTCATGTGGAGCGATAGTTCCACTACTATATACTTTTGCCATAACATATAAAATTGTAAACATTAAAGTAGTGAATTTTATTGTCTGTAAATTATACCTCATTAAAGCTGTGAGGTGTGTGTTTGAGGAGTGTGTTTTTATCATCCCTATTTTATAGTTTAGGAAATTAGGATTTAGAGAGGTTAAACTACCCCAAATGGCAAGAGAAAGTCTAAATTTAAGTCATTTGATTCCAGAATTTAGAATCTTAACTATAACAGTCTAAGAAATCCATGTAGTATGTTCTTTAACTAGGTTTAAATAAAAAAAAAAAGAGAAATCCATGTAGTATGTTCTTTAGGTTTAAATTTTTAAAAAAATGAGACAATTAAGATGGGTAAAAACATTAAAAATTTCCAATGTGTTCCTGCATAACTAAATTTTTTAAAATGATCAAAGCAGTACATATAGGTGGTTATAACTATTTCTATTGATAGTTATTACCACCTTCTCTTAATAATATTCTATTTGTTGATTTATGAAGTTTAACCTGATATAAGCAATGAGGATTTTCTCTTATTAATACCTCATCCCTCTTCCCCCATACTTTCTCTCTATATATTTATTTAAATATAGTATTTATAACATGTAAATATGGTTCATTGCAGAGACAGTCCACTTGTTATTTTCTTTCTGGTATAGCCTTTTATTTTTCACGGAGTTTCCAAAAGTCCTTTTCTACTCATGCTGTCTTCCTTTCTTATGCCTTTCACCTTTATTTCACTGCTCCATTAAGTCAAGCATTCTCTCCAATTTCCTCACTCACCCAATCTCGACCCTGGAGGCCTATTTTCTGCTCCATCTAGGGGGCTGCTCTCTGGGTCAGTTCTAACAGCCATCATCCTAGGAATCTCCTGCAGGCTTTCTCGTGACCCAGACCCACTGTTAAAACAATCTCACATCTTCCTTTTTCTAGGTTTACTCCCATGTTGTGTTGGACCACCTAACAGTTTCCTAAAACAGTACATGGGAGGAAAATAGTCTTTGTCCTTACACGTCTGAATACATCCTGACCCTCAAACTTCATTGTGTGATTTGTTTAACCAGGTGCAGAATTCCAAGTTGAAATTATTTTCCTTCAAAATTTTGATGGTGCAGCTCTTTTGCTTATAGTGTTGAAAACACTCTTTCATTCCTTTGTGGTGATGATTTTATTCCTGCTATTTTATAATTTCACTAGAGGCCCGATGCACGAAATTCGTGCAAGAGTAGACCTTCCTTTCCCCAGCTGCCTGCACCAGCTTCCCTCTGGCACCCGGGACCCGGGCTTCCCTCCAGCCACCGGCAGGCACCAAGGACCCAGGCTTCCCCTGCAGCCCAGGCTTTGTCCAGAAGGTTGTCTGGAAGGATGTCTGGTCTAATTAGCATATTACGCTTTTATTATTATAGATAAAATGTACTGTGGCATGGCTCTTTGTTCATCACTTCAAGTACTTGAGGGGCTCTTTCCATTTAAAGATTTCTGCCTGTCAGTTCTAAAAATATTTCCTCTTTTAGTTACTTGCTAATTTCTCCTCAGCCCTGATCAGGGTTCGTGAAGGAGGCAACCAATTGATGTGTATCTCTCACATCGATGTTTCTCTCCCTCCGTCTCTCCCCCTCCACTCTCTTTAAAAATCAATGGGAAAATATCCTCAGATGAGGATTAACAACAAAAAAATCTGAACTCTTTTCAAGTTACAAAAAATGTAAAATATTTTTTATGGAGACACATTCTTTTGCTTCATTTGATAGATCAGATCTTCCCCCCCTTTTCCCTGCCAGCCAGATTTATAAACCTCCCCCTCCCACCAGTCTTTATCACTGTTATTATCTGATAGTTACACTTCATTCTGCTGTAAATATTAAGCAGTAATGTCACCATAAAAGAGAATATAATAAATGTAATCAAGATAAGCAAAGTTAAATATTCTTTACAAAAAATTCAATTTAATTTTATATTCTAATATGGCATAACACCAACTGTGCTTGCTATGGCAACAGAAAAGATGTACCTGAAAAAAAGCACTGAATCAATACAATAGGGTGAGTATTAAATTTTAACTACAATTTACTGGTGCCCTTGGATCTACTAACAGAAATATTTCTAAGCCTCAATCAATGGCTGGTTTTATTTCAAGTACTAGAACCAAAAAAAATTATGGTTCAATTAAAAAACCAATTTGATGTTAATGAATTACCTTTATAAAATTTGATATATAAAAACTAACAACAAACACTTGCATGCAAAAAGGGCATTTATTATATTTACCTTGAAGTCCATTAAGGATAGAAGTAATTTCTATGGATTTAATATGAGCTGTATCGGAGTTTTTGGCATCAGTAAGATCCAGTTTAGATACTATTTCAGGAGATGAATTTGTCTGAAATGGTGGTTTTGACAAGCGCCGAAGTTTACAGTTTTTAGGAGAGTATTTTTCATCTTTGTCTTTTTCTTTGTCTAATTTATTCTAGGTTAAGGGGAAAAAAAGCATTTCATGTTAGCCATAATTTATCATGAAGCATTTATTAGTAACATTGTTAATACTAATTTTAACTCTTAAAATATATTAAATAACAAAAATATACGAAAAGCCCCTCAAAACAGCCACAGATGTTTTTTCAATATTATTTAACAAATAATGCAGGATGAGCAAAAAGTTTTTGTCTAATATTTATATTTAAATAACTGAAATAAATTAGCCATCAGATAGACAATTAAGACTAGCATTGCCTCTGGAATACCTGAAACCTATATAATTTTGTTAACCAATGTCACCCCATACTTTCCAACAAAGACCGAGAGTGAAATGAAAAGTGTTTGATGAGGCCTGAGCTGTAGCTACTCAGTTGCTGTACCCAAACTTAAATATGGACCCAATGTTACAGGGAGAAAAGAATAACCATTTTAGGGAAAAGCTTTCACTATAAGGAGCCACTAGAGTATCATTTAGCAGGAAAGTAAACAGCTTCTCACTTTGACTATGAAAAGTGAACTTCAGAACTATTAAACACCTCAAATACATACACCATTCAAAATATAAAAATGCCATTAACAAGATAACAACTGTTCTAAAGCTAATGGTCTACTTTCTAAGAAAACATTAGAGAGAGTTAATCTTAGAAGGAGCAATTCGATCATACGTAAAAGTAACATCAACTTCCAGGACAGCGGCACCTCTGGGAACCTGCTCTAAGCCGCTCCCTGCAGTCAGACAAAGAAGCCTCCTTCCCTCCTGAGGAGGGTGCAGTTAGTACTCAACCCAGGCTCCAGGCCCACTACTCTAGGGCTCCCCAGCTGGAACTCAGAGGGGCAGGAGAGGGCTGACATGGATCAGTAAAATCTGGCTGGTGGCCTTCTACAAGGCCGAAACTGAAAAAAGTCTCACAGATCATTTAGTACCGTTTCCAAAATGTCTTTCCATAAGTGACAATATTATTGTACCCAAATCTAGCTTTTGCTAAATTTGCTATTTCAAGGGAGTATTTCCAACTCTGCTAACACTAATGCACACACACTTAATGCCTAATTCTGGGGGGGAAAGCTCTTTAATTAAGAATTATGATGTAGAGAAAAATAAGCACTTACCTTTATTTTCTTCCGATGTTTTATCTTTGGCACATTTTTATCAGCAGGTCTTACTATTTTATCTGCTTTAATCCATTCATCATATCTGAAATTAAAGGAAATTGATATAAATAAACAGACATATACCACAGAGATACTTATGGCATATTAAAAAGAAAGTCATAAATAGAATCATTTCATTTTAGAACTGGAAACAACCCTGGAGATCATTTAGTTCAACTTCCTGGTTTGATGCATAAAGCTACCAACTGCCCCGACCGGTGTGGCGTTGTCTCATGCACAGAAGGGTTGAAGGTTTGATTCCCAGTTAGGGTACATGCCCGGGTTGCGGGATCGATTCCTGGTAGGTGGTGTGCAGGAGGCAGCCAATCTATATTTCATTCTCACATTAATGTTTCTCTCTCTCTAAAAATTAAGACTGCCTGTTAGTGATTCGACCATACTTCTTAAATTCTGTTATCAATAAATTCCTTATAATTAAAGCATAGGATCTAGACAAGTATCCTACCTGATATTTAACTAAAATACTAATGAAATATTTTCAAGTATATACATGACTTATTTGAAAATATTTCTACTGAGTCATCTAACTAATGAAACAAACATGAAAGACAAGATGCACAAGCAACTCATTGACCTTCCAAAGGTCACTCCCTGGCCTATGGGAGATGGAGGCGCCGCACCAGAGGGCCCTGAACTGATCAAGTCTGTGAACTCCAAGAAGGTCACTCCCTGGCCTATGGGAGATGGAGGCGCCGCATCAGAGGGCCTCCAAGGCCAAAAGCACAAACAAGGGCAGAGTCACGTGACAAATACGTCATAGGTGCCTATCATGTGACAGGCTCTGCACTGAGCACTGGGTACTCAGCAGTGAAGGCAGCACACCTCCTTCCCGCAGGGAGCTTTCAAGTGAGCAGAGAAGGCAACACTAAATGGTAATTACAAAAGGAACAATACAAACCTCTGCACCTTCTGAAAGAAGGTACGCACATATTTGTATTTTTAAAATGTGAGGAATTAAAATATTTATACAAAGCTAGAAGAAATCATTCAGAGACCACAACATAATTGCTCTCACCAGAGAAAAGTCGAGTTCAAAAAAAGAAAGCTTTATAGTTTTTGTTTGGATATGTTGGCAAATCACCTAAGCAATCACTTAGCAATAATAAAAATGGAAAAGAATGTCAGTCAACCAGATAGAAATGGCTTCTGTGCCCAACATCAATTCAGATGTGGTTCTTCTTCAACCCAACTAAACCCATTTAGCATATGTTAATATATACACCCAAAAGACATAATCGTAGAGATTAAGAAAAAGTAATTACACGCAAAATAAAGATATTTCCAAAATAATTTCATAAGCAAAACCAAATTGACATAATACTAAAAACTCATCTAAAATATGCATAGATTATTAAGATAAAATGTAATAACCATTACAGTAAAATATTAGTCATTTGTAGTTTGTTTTCTGTAATGTATATTCATTTAATAATTGCTGAGCAATGCATATTTCATATCTTACTTCCTATAAACAAAAGGTTAAGTTATATATATCATATAACTAAGCTTGTAAAAACCTCATATCTAAAGTGGAAATTTACGCTGTCATTGCAAGGAGATGAAGTTTCCTCCCTTAATTAAGAACCTATGGGACACTGTAATAGAAAAAAGACCAACTCATGATGAAAAGCACTAGTTATTAATAATAAACTTTATAAGCAATTTTATCAATATTTACCTACTTGATGAATTTTCTATTATAATCTCAATTAACACATATTTTTTTATTTATTGGACTTGATGAATTTTCTATTATAATCTCAATTAACACATTTTTTATTTTTTTATTTATTGGTTGATTTTAGAGAGAGGGGAAGGGAGAAAGAGAGAAACATCAATTTGTTGTTTCACTTATTTATGCATTTTATATGTGCTCTGACTGGGGATCGAACCTGCAATCTTGGCTTACTGGGATGATGCTCTAACTGAGCTCTCTGGCTATACATATATTTTTAATTGGAGAAAATATCTAAAACAAAATTTATGAAGACTCACTGAACACCATTTTATGCTTTTAGTAATGTACTTAGGATACAACAAAAATAAAAGTATATTACTGAAAAGCTAAAATTCTAAGCATGTTATTAACACTGCATATTTCTATTTCATTTAATACTGTTAAATCCATACCAAAGACACAGGAATGGTGTTCATCATAATAAAGATAATAACAGCATAATGACAGAAACATAAATATTATAGCATAATTTAAAATTTGACACAACCACCCCAAGAGAATGATACAGTAATGATGTCAATCCATTTTCCTAGAGAATTTAACTCTATAAAATGAAGCAAAGGTATAGGTCTTTAGGCAGAGGTAATAAGTAGTGTTAAGAACAATGGAAGAGCAGGTTTTATTTATAGACCACTGAAAATGGTTAGCAACTGTGACTCAGATACTGATTTTCTAAAGTATCCCAAAAACTTACTTTACTAATAATGATAAATTTAGGGGGTTCCTATTTGTGTAAATTTAGACAAACGTACTACCTGCCAATCTACAAAGCCACCAAATGAAACGGGTCCAATTTTTATATTTTACATAAAATATACCTGCTAATCTACAAACTAACTAAATGGAAAAGTCCCGTTTAATAAACCCTCTTAAGTTGAAAACAGAAAGAAAGCCCATTTGAGTTGTAAAGATAACTGATTCTTTATTTCACACCAAAAAAATGTTTATTTTCACTTGCACTGAAAAACTAGTCAACTCCAAAGTAATTTTTTAAGTTCACCTTATTGCTTTTAAGCTTTGTTTTACATTTCTCTACATGTAGGACTATCTGATACAAAGTATTTTGTATGCTGCAAAAAAAAATTTTCACAGCCTTCTGACTGCCATGGTACTTTTTCATCTGAATATGGAGAAACTGGAACCTTAATAGAACAGTTGGACAGGTCCCCAGGAAATTCAGAGTTGCCATATATAGAAGGATAGAGAAGAATCTGGCTCCAGGTAGAGCCAGGCCACATCTGTCCCAATCCATTAGTCTATATATTCTACAGGTATGGCGTTTATAAACCAATGCTTTTTATTCAGATCTGAATTTCTGCTTTACTCCCATTCTGTTGCCAGGAGGTCCAAAGTAGTTCAATATTCATTCACTAGTTATCACATTTTTCAGTTTTGAATTAAGGGTATAAATAATAATTATATTAATGTAAAGGTTTATATAGCACTTTAGAAAAAAAAGAATAATGTAGAACAGTATTTTTTAAAAGATATTTTCTTTTTAAGAAAACCGTTTGCTAGAAAATGTTTCAGATCACACAAAACTCACATAAATAGCCCCACATGAAATTTTCTAAATTGTCATAGTAATGAATGGCTGCCACTGAAAATAATACTACTTTCATGAACCTTCATGCATAAATCTTCGTTTTCAATTTCACATCAAGTGTAAATTCAGAGATCAAGCTGAATTTCTGAAAATAATGTGAAAACAGTTGCAGAGGTGATGAGGGCTTGTTGCCGTCCTCATTAGATAACTTCAGACAAGAAGGAGCAGCAAAAATTACATGTGATTTCTTTTTCTTTTCTTTTTTTAAAATTGTATTTGAGTCAAACTGACGACACACGCTGGGGAACAAGATCTCCAATGCTCCCCACAGTGACTTCTTATTCATCAGCAGGACAGACTTTGGTTATTATTGCCGAGAAAGAGGATGCTGTGATATTGACTATCAGGAAATTAACTGCTTAATCTACTGAAGTACAGTTGTTTTCTCTACGATGCTGCAGTGGGTGGGGATCCACCCCTACAGTTCTTCACCGAGATGGTAAGTTTTCTTCTTGTCAACGTTCAGACCACAAAATGCTTGAGCTGTCAGTAGTGCATCCTTCTCAGTGACACAAGCAAGTCTTGTTGAATAGTTAGTTCTCCTTTTCCTTTCTATATTATTAAACACCTGAATGCCTCCTTCGAATATCGCCCGTTATCCTACCCAACCCACTATCAACTTCAAAGTTAATATACCCAACATTTTCTACCCTCTAAAACCCAAGTGCTCCTCGGATAGGATACTTTCCTTTAGTCAATCTTTTCTTAAGGAAACGGAAAGTTATCTTAACTACAGAATAATTTTATGAATGTCTCAACTCACATACATATTAAGCCTCTTGTTTGAAATAATTAATAGAAAACAATCAAGCCCTGATTATAGTGAAAGTTAGAGAATGCTTAAATTCTATCCATTCATCACAGAATTTAAAGCATTTTGAAAGGCTACTAGGAAAACAGCCTTGTTATATATAAACTAGCAAAAATATATATAAAATGTAAAATAAAATAAAATAAACTAGCAAAATAACCAGAAGGACTGAAAGGAGAGGGCAAAAAGATGATGTGGCTTTTATCTATCTTGTGGGCATTATTTAATAATTAATTTTTGTCGACTCAATTTTCTCCTAATTTTAAACTAACATACTCAACATTTACACCTTAGGCAATAATGGAACTCCCTCTACATTCATGTTTAATAAGACCATTTAGTGGGATCAAAATGATTAAATACCAAAGAGTGGGCAAAATATTCCTACAGCCACTGTATCTGAGATTTCAAGCATCTTCCTCTGAACATATCATTCATGCCAGCACTACAGTGAGAAACATCATGCACCATAGAGGCAGCATAAGAACCAACGGACAAAAGAATTAATTACACATGATTTTAAAAGCAGTATCTGGAAAAGCTGGTTTCAGGACAACACCGATGACAGATAAGTCTTAAAATTCAAAACTTTTGTTAATCTTGTTGGTCAGAAATAAAGAACCAGCCCAATGGATCAGATCTGTACTTTTCTCAAAATAAAGAAGGAAATCAGATTAGACTTGTTTCTAGAGTTTCCTACTGCTGCAACCGAACAACACAAAATGTACTTTTAAGGAACAGAGTATTATTTTTAAGAAAAAGATGAAATTTTTTTAGTGACTTTCCAAACAAATTATAATTTAAATATAAAGCATGAGAACTATATTCCTCCTTGAAGAGACTAGGCACACATGAAACCACCACTTAAAACTTCTATGATTAGCTTTCCAAGGGCTACAACCCTATCATAGGCTATATTTCAAAAATAGTATTAAACATTCCAAAATGAAATAAGTTTTTCTTAAAAGATACCTAGATGGTCAGATCCCAAAACTGACAAACTTAAAATACAGAATTTCTTTGGATAAACCAAAGGAAACCTATGATAAGAAAAACACTTCATTTAACCCCACCTGAAACTGAACCTGTTTTGCCTTTCAGCTCCCCAGGTAGGAAAAGGGAGGAAGTGCACTCTAGTTAAGTTAAGCAGACCTGCTTACATTGCAACCACAGTGCTTCCAACATGAAAATACATTTCTGAGGCTTCTGAAAAACACTGTAACACAAGCACTGTTAAGGAGGAGATAAGGCCTTCTTGAAATAGCTAAAGCTTCTTAAGAAATCTCCATTGTAAACTCCCTGCCTATTGAAAGAAATATGACGTCCGCATATGAGGACTTAGGAGGATTACAAAGAGGTTACTATGGCAAGGTAGTTGAAAACGCAAGAGAGCAAGAAGTCTGATCATTGGCTTGTAGACATCAAGAAGCTCAAATCTCTTTCACATCTTTAAGGATTTTCCTATCATTTCACCAAGTGTTGCTTTGACTAATCCACATGTAATGTAAACATTAACTGGGCAGGCACTAAGGATGTCTTCCAAGTTATTAACAACAGGAGGGAGGAAGTCACTACGCGAGCATTTACATACTAAAAACTACATATTTTTTATATAGTGCTATGACCTCAATGAAAATACTAATAAGCCTGTAAGTCATTAATTAAGTTTTAAAATAGGAAATTATTTATAAGAGTTTTCAGGTAGCAATCACTAGCTAAAACTCAAGTTACCTCACATTCCATCCGCAGTAATGGACCAAGTAAAGGACCTCTCCACCTTCGACATCAGAATCTTTAATACTAGCTTCATACATTTTTTGATTTTTCCCTCGTCCATACCGCACTTGGACTTTCATGCCTGGTGGATAGCATTCAAACTCCTCTTCCTCATTGTTGTCATCATCCTCTTCATCTTCTTCCTCCTCCTCCTCCTCCTCCTCCTCCTCTTCTACTTCTTCATCATCTTCCTCTTCCTCTTTATTCGTTTCATCTCTTGAAAGGTTTAAAAAATTGCAGTTAATAAAAGACACTTCATAAGCTTTTCAGTTCCAAACCACATAAATTGATAAAAATTGTGGCTGTGATTGTTCCGGGAACAGCAGGTTCCATGTGTATGAAATTCTCTGATTTTCAATTTAATATTAAAAACTAAAACTGTGTAAGATGACTGTGGTTACAGAAAAGATACATTTAGAGAAAATGAACAATGAAAAATAAGTGCATTAAAAGAAAACTTCCAACAGCCAGAGGGACAGGAGTTGTGCTGCAGAGCAAGAAACTAGTACAGTCGACTGTTACAATTGTCTCAGGTTTTATTATGAAAGTGTTTTACATCTCAGTTGACAAAAACAAAAATCATTACACCTCATAGCCATTTTCTGACTAAAATTATTTTTTATTCAAATATTTCCAGCCTCAGGATATTTAAAACAAAAACTTTTACTAGCCAATGGCTAGTCTTAATAACTTTAAAAAGTGCTCCAACTAAAATCAAATGTTATGTTATATACTAAAATATTATTTTACCTTTCACAAGTATATTCTACCAACTTCACATTAATATCCCATCAAGGCTTTTTTCTTTTTTATTCTTCTAAACTTCAAAATTTCTGCTCTCTTTACCATATTCACTGAAAATCTTCTCTACCAACTCGCTCAACTTTAAAGTTACAAATGAAACTAAAAGTTACACCATTCAGAAGCAGCACTGCAGCCATTCTGATCTTTTCAGTATCCTGTACCTTCTAAAACTGAGTATTCATATTCATGTTATATTAGCCACAAATCGGTATTAAACAAGTTGGAGAGAATCTCAAATCATAAATCTTTCCAAGCTCTAGATTAAAAAAATCAATGCTTTGGTATAAAATTTGACATTTAGTTAAGTCTTTATCTGCTCTGCAGTTTGTCTAAATGTGTTACAATAGATTCCTCTCAAAAATGAATCCATCACTTTATAGCTGACAATGAATAAACATCATAAAACAGAAGCACAAGACAGCTGAGCATTAAACTTCAAAGTTAATAGAAATATTTATACAAAAATCCAACTTCCACTGATAATTTTTAATATTCTTATATGCAATCTTTTTAGCAATAACATATTTTACCATTCCTAATTATACAGGCAACAAAAATAATATAGAAATAGAGATAAAAGCAGCCCTATAACCCTTTTTATTTTATTTCTTTCCTTCTATACAGTGAGGGATGAAGGGAAGCACAATAAACTTGTGAAATTAAGTCTGAGTTCATGAAAGCGTCAAATGTGTCAAATCTCTCTGAAATAAATCACCAAGTCTATAAGGATTCTCAAGAATTATTCCTCTTTTAAAGACTCATCTACAGCCACATGAGTGAAGGCCTGGGAAGAGTGGGTGGGGGTGGAGGGGATCAATGGGAAAAACAGACAGACAAAGGGGACATCTGTAATACTTTCAACAATAAATAAATAAATAGATAGATAAATAAATAAATAAATAACAGCCAAAGGAATATATACTTAAAATCTAAAGGAAACCTACTGTAATCTAAGATAAAAAATATGAACTCTATTATTGAAAATACATTAACAGCTTTAAAATTAAAGATTAGTAAGGCTAAAATATTTAAGAAATTATCAGAAAGGGTGTTATGGATAATAAGCTATTATTAACAAACTTAAATGTTTTATCTGTATAATATATACTATATACATATATAAAATTAAAAGTTAAAATATCAGGGATAAAAGGAAATGTATTGTGCTGGCCACAACAAAACAAGAGATTTATCATGCACCTCAGAATCATGATGTAAAAGGAGAAAGACAGACTAAAAAGTCTAAACTTTTTAAAAAATGAAAACAATTCTAACGTTATCTTACATCATGTAATACGCTCCGCACAACTGATAAATGCCAAGAACTGCAAGCACAAGCCTACATTAAGTGGTAGCCAGAGTAATCTTTATTTAATCTGGAATAAAAACCCAATCCTCTGTACTAACAAAACAATAAAAAAATAATAAAAATTTCACATTTAATAGCAACTTCAGACACAAATCTTCAGACACAAATCAAATAAAAGTCATGAAAATAATATACTGATGTATAAATAATCAGACAACACAATTACTGGCTTGAATCAGCCATAGAAAATGCTTCTACTTTTCTAAGAATTCAGTAGCAAAATCAGAAGTAAGTGCGCTAAACCAGATACAACACAGAATGCCAAGAAAGATAGCCTTTAAATGTACACACACACCAAGGATTTTTCATCTGAATTCACAAAGAAGTATCAAATTTTCCCAGTTTGATGTGACACTCCTTACAATGAAACAAATTAAAAGAAAAAAGCTACAACTTATCAATACCTATTATGGACCAGACACTGGAATACGGAGGCAAGCTATTGAAAATTCTTGGTCGTAGCTAATTACTTAGCGGAAGTTACATATTAGAGGAATACTTAAATATTAATTCTTTATAATTGTAAAATTTTCTATTGCACTGATCTAATAAAATTCAGAAATCACTTTTGGACATTTCTCACACATAATGCTTCTAAAAAATATCTATCAAACTAGGGCAGTCACACCAGACTAATTTCAGTTTGTGGTATGACGTATATATCTCTGTAGTAAGTAAGAAAGCCATCTAGTTGAAGAATTAAATGAATTAATAAAACCCTACAAAATACAGATTATACTAATAATGTTTTTAAAGTACTAATTTGAAAAATAAAGATAATTACTAGTAACAAAGAGAAAATAAAGGCTTATCAGAGTGCCTTCGACACAGTAGATGCTCCAGAAGTAACTGCAGATTTAAGTGTCAGATTTTTAGGCATAAAGCTGAATCCTTACTAAGTTCTTTCTTAATAGTTCAAATAGTCTCCAGTAGCAGCATATATAATTTCAAATAAACATTTACATACAGAGAACTACAACCAAATATAATGAACACACTATATTCATCTAAACCCAGTGTTGTTGTTTTTTCCTTTAAAGTTTATCTGCATGCTGAGGCCAAATTTGCAAAATAACACTAAAATGATCAAGAGATTTTAGGCAAAAAGCTGGATACTCACTAAGTTTCTTAACAGTTGCAATAGCAGTGAGGAATATGTGAAATATATATTTGTACACACAGATACGTAACAAAGATAAATACCTTTTACTATATTCATCTAAACATGTTTTTCTTTTTTCTTCCTCCCTCCTTGGCTTCATGCTTTGGCCAAATTTCAGAAAAATATTAAAAAACACTGGTTGTACTTACTTAAATGGGCCACTAGCAATGAGGAATGTTTAGCGTTTTTAAACCTTAGAAATAAGATTAGACACCAAAGATCACCTATAAAATCCAGGGGTCCACTGGCAGTGTACAAATTACATTGCTAAATAATTCATCATTCCAAATGAACCAAAACAAGTAAATGCTACTTGCACATAAAACACAGCATAACAATTTCGGCCTTTTAAAAATTAAGTATTAGCACTTTTCCATTCTTATTTTTTGCTTAAGAAATGAATACAACTGTCAAAATCTACAGCCAACATACCACCTATAAAACATTGGAGAAAATCATTTTCCCAAATTTGTATTATCTGGTTATTTAGCAGAGCCTAATGTAGTAAGAAGTACTTTTCTCTAGCTGAAAATTTTATAAATTTCCATGATGAGAGCAAAGAGAATGAATCAAAAACATGACCTTTTGCTACATTTGCATTAGTAGGGTCTCTGAAGTAGGCAAATGCTATTTATGTAATAAATGCAAATCAGCCAATTATTCTATATTTTGTCAATCAAATTTCGATTCATACATACACGCACATACAAAGAGAAAATTACAAGAATTCATTCAGCCAAAATGCATCTTAACCAAAAACAGAGTTCTTACCCAGATTTTGCTTTTTCTTCTTCAGCTTCTACCTTTATGCTGAGGGATTCATCTAACCCAGTTGTTTCATCATTTTTGTTGACCAGATTTTCATTTTCTTCTGTCTTTTTTAGGTTAACTTCTTTTTCCTGATCACTTTGTGTAGATATAGATTCTAATAAATTCTTTTTACTTCCCTAGAAAAAGATCAGAGCAACTAAACCAACAAAAGTAAATACTACCAACTTAATTCCATGATCTAATTAAAAAAGGTACAACCAATGATAATATTGAGAAAGTTATTAGTCATTTTAAGAAACTCCTGCCATTCTTAAAATACTAGGCAAAAATATTGAACAGCTATTGTAAACACCAAAATAGCACTTACTGAAGAAAATGCACAATCTAATCTATCTAAGTATAAAATTATACAATAAATTAACAAATCTTTAGAGTATACAGAAAATGTACCAAAGGTGGAAAAGGACAGTATCTGATTTACCAGAGAGGGTTTTAAATTTTCCTTCCTTTCAACATCATCTTCAGTAGGGTTTTCTTCTTTTATTATTATCTTCTCCTCCTCTTCAATCTTTATTTCTTTCATTTCTGGTTCACTTTCTTCCTTAACTTTTATTTCTTTTACACTGTCACACTCCTTACATGGCTTGTTAGCAACTTTCTCTGGCAGTGCCATCTGAAATTCAATATTGGCCGACCTACAGTACTCCTCAAAACCATATAAGTATCTAGAAACATGAAGAGAAATTACATTTGGGGAAAATTTTGAAATATTACTGTAGAGTTGTGGTGATTTAAATTTGTTCGTTTCTCTTGTTTTTCAGATATGGAGCCTTAACATTCTCATTTATTCTGGTTCAGCTCTTCCCAATCTTTTTAACCCAAATAGAAACATTTTTCAAAGAAAGTCTCAATTAAAAAAACTATGCTAAAAGTGAGAAGACAATCATAATCTTAAATATACTAACTGTAACAACAGTAGCTTTTACAAGTTCCAGTGATAGCCTGTTTGTTGAGCACTTCTTTGTAAGTGAGGCTTTGGACCTCTAAGTACACGTAAAATCTCATTTAATCCTCAGAGTAATCCTACGAGGCAAACAGTACTATCTCATTCTACAGATGAGGATACTGAGGCTGAGGAGAACAAAGGCATGGTCCAAGGGCACCGATCGCTAGTAACTGGCAGGACCAGGAATCAAACTTGTGCATACCTAACTGTTAAAACTTTAGCATTTTAACCTAACACAGTACTTGCAAAATTTACTTGGTCACAAAAACTTCTTCACAGATGATCTTGTAGATCTAGTGTTCATAGAATACACTCTAGAAAATGTTATATTATAGAGTGATTACTCCAGCGAAAATTTCTGATTTCTTCTTAGAGCCTCAGTTATGGGATACATCCCACCCTGCTTTCTAGATAAAATACTGAATGCAGCTATAGCAAGTACGCCGACTTACTTTTTATAAGCACATTTCACATTGTATCCTGCAGCTGAATTTAAGACAGGAATCCCAAGGTCCTGGTAGACTTGCTTCCAGATAGCTCCACTTTCAATCTAATGGACAAAATGAAATGAAAACTTCCAAATTAAAGGTAGGAATTTAAAAATATTTTTATAAACGTAGTATATACAAATATGTTTCTATTTATTGGTTTTAGTCTCAAATGGATGAATGAAATATCAATCTCAATAAATACTAAATAAAAAATTGATTCACATTTTAAAATAAGTTTTAGTATTCTAACAAATCTCAGAGAATTCACAAATGTTGAAATATTATACCACTTCATTTTAAATAAACCCTGCTTTAGTAAATAAGAAAATGTCCAAATTCCTAATCAAAATTTATAATGAAGAAGCCAAGATAGAAATTTTAAAATGAAGTATCATGTCCCATAAAACTTACAAGCTAATAAATCAAAGCAGTTCTATGGATTTTACTAAAGCATTTGATTCTACAGAAAAAATTTTCAGTCTTAATTAGATGAGCACCATTCATCATGGCAATCTTAAGATAATTTCTTCTAGTTCAAAAAAAGGTTTTCTGCATGTTTATATAACCACATATACGAATGATATGTTTTATATATATCAGGCACAGTGGACAAGATTACAGATATAAAGAAGATTAACACAGATCCATGCTCCCAAGTATGTTAGTTTAGTGGGAGACATAAGCAAGAATTTCCATGGATATGGTTATGCTGTGACTTCAGACATAACTAGGTGGTTTATGAAAGTTTGACAAACTTAACAGTAAGTCAGAAAGCTCATTTTAAAAAATATTTAATTAAATTTAAATTTGTTCTGAGGAAGCCAGCTCTGTTCCTAACCTGTCATTTCCATTTTTTATTAATTGGAATAAATAATTTAGATAGAAAACATGTATAAAAAACATGCTTCACTTTTGATTGTAATACTTACATTATCAAATCCTCCAAGTTTGTGTACAAGTCTGAATAACTTAAAGAGATTCAAATTTCTATATCCAAGCACAGGTCGTTTGTTAATAGGTGTGCCTATTAAGGAAAACACAAAATATATTAAAATCGCACTGCATTTTTGTATTTAAAATTTCCAAAGATTCAAATACAGTGCAAAGGGCTGTGTGTACACGCACACAGAGAGTGGGACAAAAGTAGCTTTACAGTTTTGAGTATAAACAATTCATTCTTATGTGATTATTTATTAATTTATTGCACTTTCCATACGAACAACTGTAAACCTATTTTTGTCCTACCCTGCATATATGGGGGGGAAATGCTGTTCATTAAAAACATGTCCTGTTGCCCTAGCTAGTTTGGGTCAGTGGATAGAGAGTCAGCCTGCGGACTGAAAGGTCCCAGGTTCGATTCCCATCAAGAGCACATACCCGGGTTGCAGGCTCGATCCTCAGTAGGGGGCGTGCAGGAGGCAGCCGATCAATGATTCTCATCATTGATGTTTCTATCTCTCTCTCTCCTTTCCTCTCTAAAATCAATAAAAAATAAAATACGAAAAACATGTCTTCTACTTAAGTCCATTTCATTAAAATTTTTCCCCTCTTACCAGGTTGTTGAAACCTTATATGATTTCATTCCACTTTTATTACCCTTATGAGTTAAAGAATAAATACCAAAGAAAGCACAATAATAATTTTAAAAATCAGGGAAACAAGGTTTGGTAAAACTGTTGAAATGATGGGCAACTGCTTAACATTCAGAGTTATTTTTATGATAACTTCTTTGCATTTTAAAGATTAATTTTTTCTTTATTGATGAGAGAGAGAGAAACATTGATTTGTTGCTCCACTTACTTATGCATTCATTGGTTGATTCTTATATGTGCCCTGACACGGGACTGAACCTATAACCTTGGCAGATAGGACAACACTCGAACCAACTGAGCTACCCAGCCAGGGCTTACTTTCTTTGCATTTTACTAAATTACTACTTCTCTAAATGATTCTAGCAGTGGTTCTCAACCTTCTGGCCCTTTAAATACAGTTCCTCATGTTGTGACCCAACCACAAAATTATTTTCGTGGCTACTTCATAACTGTCATGTTGCTACTGTTATGAATCGTCATGTAAATATCTGATATGCAGGATGGTTTAGGCGACCCCTGTGAAAGAGCCGTTCGACCGCCAAAGGGGTCACAACCCACAGGTTGAGAACCGCTGTTCTAGAGTAAAGCTATAGTATTCTTTCATTCTAATATGGAAAAATGTAGGGCAAGGACACAAACTATCATGCCTTTAGAAAATGGTAGAGGAAATAAAAAAACAAAGCTACACAACCTATGGCCCTTTCCAAAAAATATGACTGGCATAATCATATTTTATCACTGTTCTAATATTAGACTTTATTCATCACTTTTTATTTATGTTACATAAAAGCCTAAGAAATAGCCTACCTTCTTAGGCCAAGCCTCCATTTATACAAAGAAATAACACAGGAACCAAGGACAATGTATATTCTATAAAAAGATAACTACATTATAGTAGCCACTATCATTTATGAGAGCAAAAGACAAACAGCCAGCTTCTACTCATCAGCAAGCAAACGGAGATTTAAAAGTAATTACAGAGTAAAGTGGCATTTCCAAATCCTATTCAATCATGTCCTTCTCCTCAAGCTAGAGAGCTTTCTGCTTCTCCCGCCTCCTTTCCCTTGCTCGCATCTTCCCGGGAAAGGAGAAACTACACTCTGAGCAGATGAGCAAGAAGGTAACAGTCCAATAGTTCCTGGAGAACTGGGTTACCACCAAAGGTCAGCACCTGTTCCTCTTTCCCCCAACCCCTGCATTTACGTAACAACACTAGGCAGGTTCAGTGAGGTAAGCCAAGGTTCACCTTGGAATACTGTCACACTTTACTTCTGGCTCTCTGTGTCTGGCTTCATTCTCTTAGTTGTGAGGCTGAGCCTTTATAAAAAGACTTAGGGTTCGTCTTAGAGTGTAGTCACATGATGCGCGCACACACACACGTATGTCAAACAGTGGTTCTGGAGAAGGAGGCCTTTTCCTAGTGGCATCTATGTAGGTGCGATTACAATGTTGCTACTACGATTCCCACTCTGCTGCTGCTCCCTAGCGTCAGAGTTCTTTGGTATAAGAGTGCTGATGGGAGTGAAGAAACGACAGAACAGAACACAGGCATTTCTGGGCCCACGGCCATGTATCTATCAAAACTCTGTCAAATTCCTCATTCCACTTTCCATGGGACAGACACTATGCTAGGTGCTGGTGATATTGGCAACCAAAAAGATAGCCATGATTACCAGAAATAGGAAGCTTAATGAACAGAATTATTATTTTTAAAATATTAACTATATATCGGATACCTACATTAATTTAAAAAAAACACACTCACCTCTATCCTCCATGAATTTGTACAGCTGCTGAAGAAAGTTTTCTCTTTCTTCTGGAAATGGTTCTATTTCTTCCTGTTTTAGTCACAGAAGAATAGAATATTATTTTGCTCAGTTAAGCATTGAATAAAACAAGCAGATTTCCTACCAACAGCAAAGACTAATACTCACTAAAATATTTCAAAGGCTTTTTATCAAATACAAATTTTTTCTTAATACTAAGCTGTTCGAACCCAGGAAATTCTAGACATTTTGTGCTTTACAGAGGAATATGTCCTAAAAGGTATTTCCAAAGTGACAATCCCAACTGTAAATTCTCATATAAGAAAAGAGACTACAAAGACGGTTCACCAACTTTTGGTTTATCCCATGTAAGAGATCAACTCTTTAAATCAGGGTCACAGGCTCACGAAGACCTACTCTCACTTCTATGAAATTGGGTCAGGGTTTAATTTAACATCAAAACTGACTCGATTATTGCTCCTCATAGAACTGTACAAGTGTGGGTCCCAGTAGCTGTAACTACACGTGTCCATCATTACACACAGCCCCACTGTGGAGTACTGCAAGCGTGTCAAATCGGTAAAGTGGGGAACAAACTTGATCTACAATACCTGAAGATTCAGACTTAGGGAAATCTTCAAGTAATAAAATAGTTCCCCGATTTATCAATTACAAGGGAGGGACTAGCTTCTTGCTGCTGTGGCCAGGGGCTGTGGCAGTGGGGAGCTGGTCCTGAAGCAACCTGCAAGGAGCAGGGTAGTAGGTGAGAGGGAGGAACTCATCAATTCAGTGACTATCATCCATTCACAAACATTTTATGAGCACCAGTCGGTGGACGCACTAGGTCAGGTGCTGAATCAATGAAAGAAAAATAAGCAATGACTAAGAGTAACTGCAGAGCAAGTGGTCCAAACTATACACCAAGGCTACAGTTACTCTGGCTGAGGCCAATGTATCTCTCATAGTAAAGGTGGGAGCATACTTTTCTATTGATGGTCTAAATAAATCTCTTTAATTTTTAAAACTGTGTCTAATGCCACTGTTTAAATGAGATGTTACCCCTTTATATTAAATGCTAGCAGAGCAGAGGAAGGCCAATTAAAAACAAAAACTCATGTGGATAAATTACTAGGCTTGCTAGCTGGGCACAGGAGAATAAATGACAATTATTAACTTGTTTAGGATAAATCTGTATTTCTCAATTTAAAGATGGTCCACATATGCTGTGTGTTGGTAAAGTAGTCAGATGTAAGTCTAAGGAAATCTATTTTCTAGATATCACCTAATGTTCCCATGGTACAATATTTAACTTTCATAAACTGCCAAATTAATTCCTTTTGCAAAATTTTTAAGTCAAGTTTATATATGACACAAAAAAATGTTTAAACTGGAAACCAGATTTGCTTTCACAAAAACACAAATCCAAGCACCAACCGTTTGGTAATTAACATTTACTGATCATCTGTTACATGTTACACACTGTGTCAGACACTGTGAATATAATAAGTACAAGGAAGACAAGGTCCCTACCCTTGAGGAGCTTATAGATTAGTAGGGGAATTAAGAAACAGACATAAACCAATGTACTTATGTACATTGACAAAATATGTACACGGACCAGTAGTAGTTTAGACTAGCAAACGGAGTGATTAACTTTCCTGAGATGAGAAAGGTGATGGTTTACAGAAGGTTTCCCCTTACAATGGTGACATATGTCGGGTTTGAAAACTGAACAGGAGGGTGCCAGGCTGACTGGGGGAGGGAAGAGGAGGGAAGGGCACTGTGGGGTAGAGTAGGTGCAAAGGTGAGTAGTAGAAGGTATATAATTTGATATTGCTATAGCATAAAGTTCCAAGTTGGGGGTGGGGGGAAAGAGAGCATACCAAGAAAAGTAATGAAAAAAAGAAGGCAGGGGTTGGATTATAAAGGAGGACCTATAAGTGAAGCTTGATTTTTAGAGCGATAAGAAGCTACTGAAAAGGTTTTAACAAGGGACTAATTACTCATTTAGCATTTTAAATAGAACGCAGTGGGAGAGAAGACGGAAACCAGGGGCACGTTTACACTACACATTGTCACTATAGATTATCATATCATAAAACAACCCTATGCCAATAATAGTTATGTGGCAGAATTTCATAACTTACCTAAAATATTACATATTGACATGAACTTAGTTTCCTGAAAACATTACATACAATTCATTTCACGATCAAATATACTAGCCTTCGCTATCTGTACCTCTCACCCAATAACTTTTATAAAGTCGCTCAACAAACCATGAAAGAGTACCGTGGTTCAATGTCACTAGTGATATCACGGACATCTTTTCTTGGTACTTGTCGCTGCTAGACCTAAAGTACTAGCTACAACAAAATCTAAAACTTCAGCTTCTTTATCTATATAAATTCAGATGTCTTATTTATGATCTTATCAGAACTACACATCCACTTATGTTAGATAAAATCATTTAAGATTCTCATTAACCTTTACTTTTTTACTTATTCTTTTAATACTAGGTGGAATATGTATTTTGTACTTTTCTAGGTATTTCAATAAAACACACAGATGTAAACACTGTATGAGGTGACAGCTATCTACACGACAGTGAAAAGCATGTGAAAGTTTTCTTATGTTAGATGGGTATTTCCTTAATCATCGGTTAAACCGAAAGCACAGTAAAATTAGGAAACATTTCTGAGTTATTGGGATATCTATAGTTAGTTTTATTTTCACAAGACCCTATTTCTATTTTAAGGTAAGCAAGCAAACTACTTGATTACGATGAGTATCACAAATACAATTTTATTATGAAATATTTCTAATACTCAAAGTATTCAAGTAATTAATGACTTATGCGCCAAATTCTAACTCGAAAACCCAACTGTAATTTTAATGTAAAGGCCTCACTGTTTCACTGACCTCCTCCTCGCTGCTGTTATCCTCCTTGTCTTCCTCCTCCTCCTCCTCCTCCTCCTCCTCCTCCGCCTCACTACTGGAGCTGTCCTCCTTCAACTCCGTCTTCCAGTTAGCAGGAACAGTTCTGCTTCTGTGAAACGCTAGCGCCTGATCAAAGGCTGGAAACAGACCATAAACTAGTGAACTGGAGAAAGAAGACAACTGACTTGTCTACAGACAGTAAACAAAGAAATGAAGACCACTGTGTAAATACCGCTGACAGTTATCAGTGCCTGCTGTGTGCCGGCACTGAGCTGATGGCTTTTCTGTGTAGCTGCTCATTTAATCCTCTCAGTCTTAAGCATCAGGCAGCCATTTTTATACATGACAAAACTGCTACTATTGGAAGGGGACCTAGGTCCTAACAAATACAAAAGAGCAGTTTTTTTCTTTTAAATAAAAATTAAGCATGTCTAATAAAAACATACTTAAGTTAGGTAAATCTTTAATCGTTTACCCAACAAATGACAATTAAATAGAATCACATGCCAGCCAGAACCATTGTAATGAACATACAATACCTGAAAATATAAATATTTTCTCTAGATCGCTAAACTTGAATTGTATTAACAATTAACTTCAATTAAAATTAGCTATGCAGTAATTCTCATTTTACAATACATGGAAATAAATTTTAAACCATAAAATTCTTGATGATTTTTAACCAGTCTACACAACGTATTATTAGATTTGATGAATATAGGCCAAGTGAAAACAAGCAGCTATATACAATGGTAAAAATCTAGTAAGAAATGCAATTACAGCATTTAATATAACCACTGAATAATATAATATAAGAAATACTAGGGGCCCAGTGCACAAAATTTGTGCACTGGTAGGGTCCCTAGCGGCTGCTGGCTGCCGGCCAGGTACTTCCTCCCTCCGCCTGGCCAGCCCCACCCTCTGGTTGAACTCCCAGATGAACTCCCAGTCAAGGGGACAATTTGCATACTATGCTTTTATTATATAGGATAACTATTATTACGGTATGAGAAATGCCAAATCAAAATTACTTTGATTCCTGTTTCTACCATCCTCAGGAACTAACATTTTATTTAGAGGCAAAAGCCAGACTATAGCAATAGCTGCTGATATAGTTCTTTCACACTTTAAATAATATTAAGCTGAAAAAAAAAGGAAACTATGATAACAAAAGACACATGGGTTTACAAAACTCAAAGTCACAGAAAGCTAAGTATAACTTTAAAGGCAATTTTTAAAAAATATCCTTTTTTAAAATGTATTATTATTTTTTTTTTAAATATATTTTACCGATTCTCCACAGAGAGGAAGGGAGAGAGATAGATAGCCAGAAGCATCGATGAGAGAGAAACATCAATCAGCCGCCTCCTGCACATCTCCCACTGGGGATGTGCCCACAACCCAGGCACATGCTCTTGACCGGAACCGAACCCAGGACCCCCCAGTCCGCAGGCCGACGCTCCACCCACTGAGCCAAACCGGACTCGGCTAAAATGTATTATTGAAAGTATTACAGATGTCCCCTTTCTCCCCCCTTGACCTCCACTCGAACCCATCTCCCTTCACCACACTACTGTGTCCATGGCTATGCATATATGCACACAAATTCGTTGGTTAATCTCTACCCAACAACCCACCTCAACCTAAGAAAACTTAATCTCCAAAAATACTATCAGTTTTTTGTTTAGTTTTATTTATTTATTAGTTAAGGTATTACAAATGTGTCCTCATCTCCCCCCTTAACCCTACACTCATCAGTTTTTTTAATTAACAATTTATTTCAAGATTACCCTTACCTTGTTTTAATACAGCATCAGGCTTTGGTGCAGTATCACTAGTAATTTCATGGACATCCTTTCTTGGTACTGAAGTACTGTATTATTTTTTTCAATTTAAAAGAAAAAGCAAACACAAAAATACAACAGAAATTAATTAAGAGCCTAATTACACACCACAGAAAGCTGCTGAAAATAATATGGGAATACTGACATTTACACAAGGGTGCAAGTTACAGATAAAATGTTAATACATGTAATCATCTACAAAAGGACCCCACCTTTAATAGAGACATTTTATAAACAAGGTATTCTCAAATTATCAAGGGCCCCTGGCTAAAGGCAATGAAATCCTAAATGAAAAGTACTTAAATACTAAAAATAACAACAGATAAAAATGTTTGGGTGGCAGAATGCATCAATCCAATAAATAAGAAGTCAAACAACAAGAATCTGCCATTATCTTGGAATAATCATAGGAAATGACTAAATTTAATATTGGAAGAAAATGTACTAGTTTATAACGTGAATGTTCTTTTAACAAAATTTTAACTGGATTTTAGACTAAAGTCCTCAACTATAAAGAGGGATCAGATATAAGCATCTATAAGAGGTTCTACCATATATGTCATATATATTTCCTGTTTGACACTGATCAATGATTATTCATCTTTCCTGCATTTGGTTAGTTTCAGTCAAACCAAAAAGCCTGAAAACTATTCCAAATACAAGTTTCAGCTTGCCTATTTCTTTTAAGCTTTTATTTTTAAAATCTCATATACAAAAGTAGACCAAATAGTGCAATGACCTCCCACATATCCATCACCCAACTACAATAATCATTAACTCATCATCACTGCTTCATTTATACCCCTACCTACTCCCTCCTACCTGAGCTCGATTATTTTGAAGCAAATCCGAGACATATAATTTCATTATGGAGCTTCAAAATTCTTTTAAAAAATATAATCATACCATTATCACACATTTAAAAACTAGTAATTTCTTAATATCATCAAACCAGTATTCAATTTCAGTGTTCAAATTTCTCTCATTATCTCCATTTAGTTAACATGGTTTTCATAGATTGTTTTTAAAAATCACTTTTTAGAACTTGAAAACCCAAACACCAATCTTAAAATATGATCATCCTTTAAAGATATAGTCATCCTTTAAGGCAGAGTCACACAATTCTTAAAGGGGAAAAAAAATAGAAATTTGTAACTCAGTTCTAAGAAAGTTCTACATGAAAAATATCTCTCTTAACACTTAAGATACAATTTAAGAGTCCTAATTAAACATTCAAGAACCATAAATGTATCCACTAGTATATCAATCAAGGGTTAGATATGGAAGATATATCAAATTTGCCTCAACAAATCACCAGCTATTACACAGGCAAAATTGACAAATTAGACAATACTGAGAGTGTAGTTTAGCAAAGACCATCATGAACAAGGAAAGACATACTACTACACTTACTAGTAACATGAAAAATGATCATACTTTGAAACTTTCTGAATGGCGAAAAGTAAAAGGGTAATGTCACTGGAAATAACTTTATCATTTACCATTCTAATGTGGAAAAACGGCATCTTTTTCATAACAAGTGAGTTATACTTACAATTTGCCATCCTTGAAAGATCGAACAAGAATATTATCTTTCTTCACAGCAATTTCATCACTACAATCAGGACAAACCACCTTTATAAAAAAAAGGGTGGAATTATGGTTAGTAAATACAATGGCGAAAAGTAAAAGGGTAATGTCACTGGAAATAACTTTATCATTTACCATTCTAATGTGGAAAAACGGCATCTTTTTCATAACAAGTGAGTTATACTTACAATTTGCCATCCTTGAAAGATCGAACAAGAATATTATCTTTCTTCACAGCAATTTCATCACTACAATCAGGACAAACCACCTTTATAAAAAAAAAGGGTGAAATTATGGTTAGTAAATACACATTTACGGATAGTTACATCAGAACCAATTATTTAAATCCTTTTAGAAAGAAGTTTTTCAGCTTAGTTTAAAAACTAAATTTAATTTTAGGGCAAACAGGTACACACATGTGGACACAGTCACCCGTACTTTTCAATTTACATCCTACATCTTCCCAGGTCTACGGCTCCCCCACTGCCTCTGGCACAGGCTCGGGCTGCAAGCGCGTCCTATCAGAAGTGGAGAGCGGAATGGAGGGGAGCTAGCGTCTTAGCGAGGGTCTGCACCACAGTAAGAGAAGGGCAGGCCCCAAAATGGGATCAGGTATTAAAACCTTCATCAAGACAGTCTCCATCCTTAAAAAAAGCTAGGGACGGGGTTCTGTATTATTTACTGTTAAATATGTATTTAAAACACATTACATTTCTTTGTAATACTACCCACTCTAAAAAGTAAACACTTCAAAGTGGGTACCTTTCTGGAGTCCGTGTAAGATTTCCTACTAACATTAAAAGATTTCTTTTATTTGAAATAGCCTCAGCTGTTATTTAGTGAGGAGAAAGCATGTTTTCCCAAAGGCAGTGCCAATGTAAGAGGCCTATGAATTTTGCCTTTCTTAAATGACTTCAAGAGTTCTTTGTACTCAGAGGCAATTTTGAAAGTTAATCTTTCTCTGAACGAAATGATGCTAAAACCATTTCCCCATTTTGCACCTATGAAAAACACTAAGACAAGCAGCTGTGGTTTTTTTCATGAACTTATGTAGTTGAAAATGAAACTCTTTTCATTGAAGTTACTCACCAATGCAGGAAAACATAGTGCTTTCTTTTTATCCAAACTAACGTAATCTACACAAACAACTTTGCCTAGCAGCTCATCAATCTGCTTCCTGTCGTCCTCATCTTCATCACTGGAGGATGAAGAAGACTCTTCCTCTGGTCTAGGGAAAGAAACAGTAAGAAATTTCACTTATCTTCACCAAGAATAAGCAGACCAAGTTGATAAATACAGACATTCTAGAAATCTTTTCCCATTTCCTAATGTCCACAGAACGGCTAATTTAAAAATTAAGTTCCTAAATTTCTAAAGAATACCAACATAAAAGGACTATCACTAGAGAAAAACACATCATTTTCCTAAAAATATTTCCCATTTATTTAGTGCTATTTTAAACAATTAAGGGAAAGTTCAAAACAGACTAACATTGGTCCCCAAATTCTCAAAAAGCTGAAGGCCCCATATAAAATACCCCCATGCTATACATAGTAAAATATATTAGATCCTACATTCAGATTAAAGGAGTTATAGACAGTAATTTTACACTCTTAGTACAAAGCTAATTTTACAAGAAGGCAGGCAGATCTTTATTACTGGGGGTCAGGGGAGAGAGAGGAGACAATCTGGTAAGAGATCATCACTGTTATTCTCAATATCAAATATGCACAAATATTCATAAAATGCACAATATGATTCTTTTGTATTGTTAAAAATTCCTTCCAGTTACATTGTATATTGAACTAGTAAATTAGAAAGACGTTAGAAAGGGGATCTAAAACCATCTATTTGATATTAGACAAAAGTAGAGTAAAAAATACTACTAAAAAGGAAAAAAGAAACACAAAACAAAACAAAAAATTCTGCTGAATCTGCTTCAGAGAAAGCCCACAATCAGGTTGTGGGCTCGGTCCCCAGTAAGGGGATCCTTTCATTCCTGTGTTCCTTAGATTAGTTACTTATTGTATCTGCAGCCAATTTCCCCAATTTTTAGTAAGGATAAAACTAATACCTATTTTCATGGGTTTGCTGTAATATGAGAGCTATGCTCACCCAATTTCTGTCTCCAAAGCATAGTCACAATTAGAATGCTGGCCCGTTCCATTTTGACTACAGTATCCCCATACATGTAGGGAGAAATAAGAGGTAGATACTCAGCTGCTAAGGTTGGCTGAACATGGAGAACCTCAAGGACCCATGCTAAGGAGTCTGAAATTACTATTAGATCTAAAATTACTATTAGATTCAGTTAGCATTTTGAAATTACAATTTAAAATTAGTAACTATTAGAGCAACACTAGGAGAAATGAATTCAGGTTTATTTATTTATTTATTTATTTATTTTATTTATTTTTTTAATATATTTTATTGATATTTTACAGAGAGGAAGGGAGAGAGATAGAGAGTTAGAAACATCGATGAGAGAGAAACATCGATCAGCCGCCTCCTGCACATCTCCTACTGGGGATGTGCCCGAAACCTAGGTACATGCCCTCAACCGGAATCGAACCTGGGACCTTTCAGTCCGCAGGCCGATGCTCTGTCCACTGAGCCAAACCGGTTTTGGCTGAATTCAGGTTTAACTAACAGTTATGAAAATGGACTTACATATGATTAGATCTTCTTCCTCTATTTGTTTTCTTCCCTATGACTGGAGTGCCAAAATGTTCAGGGTTGGTGAGTGGGAGTTGGTCTAGAGTCTGTGGGTAAGAACATAAACCCAGAAAAAGTTATTACATTGCAAGTCTAGTGATTTAATAAATAATATTAAATGTCCCCCCAAAAACACTGTTCCAAATAGTGACTAGAAAAAAAATTATGGTTGGGCCCCTCTGAGCATTAATTTTTATTGACTGGGGAGGGGGTCTAGAGACTATAGCACTGTTTATAACCATACGTCCATTTAAAAATTCTGAGTAGCAAGCTACAGATTTACAAAACGTTGTGAACTTTCCCTTCTTAGTAACTGAATAACACATTTTAATTTTAGATCATGGATTTGGTACTAAAAAGTGCTGGTTTAAGAACCAGCTCTAATCATGTTTCATTATCTGTAAGTAAAAGAAAATAATGGTTTCTACTTCATAATGTAAATGTAATAATGTATGTAAAGCTCTGAGAAATGCTTTATATTTCCTTAAGAAATATAAGCACTTCATTTATTCATTCAACGAACATTTATTCAGTTCCTACTCTGTGGGCACTGTTCTAGGCACTGGGAACCAAGCGGTAAACAAGACACAAAATCCCTGCCCTCCTGACACTTTCCAATGAGAAAGGCAGACAATAATAGACCAATAGTCAAGCACATACACATATTTTAAAGTCAGCGAACAGTATGTGCTATAAAGAAAATGAAACCAACCTAAAACAATTAAGAGGGATGAAAGGGACAATTTTAGAAAGGGCAGCCAGGCAAGGCTTCTTTAAGGAGGCTGCAATTATGTCAGCTACTAGCAATGGTAGTTCTGGATTGCTTGTAGTAACTACATTATTTTCATGATGATGGGGTTCAAGTGGGCTACAAATCAGACCTCTCTTTCCTATAATCATTTACATGACAAAAAGAATACTCAAACACAAAGCCTCAAGCAGGCTTCACAGATTATATTATAATGGTATTATGTTTTGATGAATTTTCCTAATTAACATATAAGTTGCTTGATTTGAGAAAGCAAACTTTGCTCCCCCCAATATAGACTATTAGGAGATGTTCATTTGTTAAATGGTCACTTACTTCACTTTCAGCAAAATGTCTCTCTCCTTTCAGGCACAGTGAGGACCGTCTCAGCGTCTTCTCATCTCCATCATCAAAAACTAGGAGAGAAGGTAAAAACGGAAACTGCTGAAGAGTTTTTCAAAGATTAACAAGATAACATAAATTATTTAATTTTCCGAGCGGAAATAGAGCTATTTATTGTTTTAAATATTACATTCAAAATTCAGGTCACATCTTATGTTTTCTAATAATCAACTTCAAACATTGAGTATCTTTTCCAATTTCTAGCAAAAAAGAAACAATGGACCTTAAATGAAAAAAAACTTCTTCCCTCAATCGGAAAACACCAAATAAAAATGTTAGCATTGCAGCATGAAACTATTTAAATGCTATTAACCCTTCTCAAGGTGGTAAAGGAAAAGCAAGATTTCCTGCTGGTAAAAACCTACAGATTTAGCTAAGAAACAGAAAGAGTACAAACTGATATATTCAGACTGCCATTTTTATTTAAAGCAGGGTTTCTCAATCACAGATCTACTAACATTTGGACCAGATAATTCTCTTCCATTGTGAGGGGAGCTGTCCTATGCACTGTAGATACTGAACAGCAACCTTGGCCACTAGATGCCATCAGCACCCCCCTCCCAGCTGTGATAACCAAAAATATCTCCAGGCATTGCCAAATGTTCCCTGAGTGATGAACTTGCTCCCAGTTGAAAACTACTTATTTAAAGTACTAAAATGCCCCACCAAATTTACTGTAAGTTTATATATACACAGAATATACGTATATTTTGTGACATAGTAAAGATATGAGTAAAACAATGAGAAAAGTACTTGCAAACTAAAGCAGCAAATATTCAGAATATAAAAAGAACTCACAAACTAAAAATAATAAGGAAGAGATAACAGCCCGGCCGGTGTGACTCAACAAGATAAATATACTTAAATGTACACTGAAAAATAGTTAGAATGGCCCTGGCCGGGTGGCTCAGTTGCTTGGAGCATCGTCCCATACACCAAAAGGTTGCAGGTTCAATACTTGGTCAGGGCTAATATGGGAGGCAACCAATCGATGTTTCTTTCTCTCTCTCTCTCCTTCCTCTCTCTAAAATCAATAAACATATCCTAGGCTGATGATAAAAAAAAAAAAGGTTAAGATGGAAAAAGAAATTTCTCTGAGATACACTTTGAAATGAAAAAAAGCTAGAAATCCAATGCTATAATATGCATAACTAAATAATTTCAAATAATATGTTATGCACATATTAATAAAACAAATTTTTTAATCTGGAAAGATAACCATTAACAGTTATATCGTCTATGGCACTGGGGAGAAAGTAAATCAAGGAAACTTTGCTTTGGTTGTATTATCTTTGAAAAAACTTCTTTAAAAGATGGATTCCCTTGCCCTAACCGGTTTGGCTTAGTGGATAGAGCATTGGCCTGAGGACTCAAGGATCCAGGGTTCGATTCCGGTCAAGGGCATGTACCTTGGTTGCGGGCACATCCCCAGTGGGGAGTGTGCAGGAGGCAGCTGATCGATGTTTCTCTCTCATCGATGTTTCTAACTCTCTATCCCTCTCCCTTCCTCTCTGTAAAAAATCAATAAAATATATTTAGAAAAAAAAAAAAAGATGGATTCCCTTACCTACAGTATACCAACTCGCGTCTGTTAATTTATTGATGACAGCTTCCTGATATGTACCATCGAGATTCTTCACTTCCACAATAGCTCCAACCTAAAGTATTTTTAAAAGTTAGAAAAACTTTTTAGAAGGTAAGTGAACAAACCAAAAACTTGCTTTATTTATTTTTTTAATTGAGTGCACGGTAGAATAAAATTACTGATTTGTGTTGCCGGTACCAGCAGTTTTACCACTACAGTTTCTGTACCATCAGTGAAAGTGTCAACATAGTAAAAAGGCGAATACTATCTAAGAATTATTATGAAAACAGTTGTGCCCGTTTTCCCTTAAAAGGGTCTTAGGAACCCCCAGGAGTCCTCAGACATCACTTTGAGAACTGGAACCGCCATCTGTGAAAACTGACTGTCCGTGCACCATATAACCACTCCTCTTTGAAGGCGGTGGAGGAAGGGGAGGAAAATTAAGGAATAGGCTCTGAAGTCTCCTTAAGAGTTAAAATGTAACACTAATGACAATCATTTAAAAGTTTCCATTTGAGCCCTGACCGGTTTGGCTCAGTGGATAGAGCGTGGGCCTGCGGACTCAAGGGTCCCGGGTTCGATTCCACTCAAGGGCATGTACCTTGGTTGCAGGCACATCCCCAGTGGGGAGTATGCAGGAGGCAGCTGATTGATGTTTCTCTCTCATCGATGTTTCTAACTCCCTATCCCTCTCCCTTCCTCTCTGTAAAAAATCAATAAAATATATTAAAAAAAAAAAAAGTTCCCATTTGATCAAGAAAATACTGAGTTATATTTACATGGTCTTTAAAACTGCAGCAAACTTAAAAACTTCTACACAGGAAAGGAAACTATCAAGAAAATGAAAACGCAACCTACTGAATGGGAAAAGTATTTGAAAATCATTAATCTGATAAAGGGTTAATATCTAAAATATATAAACAACTCATCCAATTCAATATCAAAACAAACTATCCGATTAGAAAAATGAGCAGAGTGTCGAGCCAGTGTTGCTCAGTGGATGAGTGTCCACTTATGAAACAGGAGGTCAGGGTTCAATTCCCAGCCACATGCCCAGGTGGCGGGCTCCATCCCCAGTAAGGGGATGTGCAGGAGGCAGCCGATCCATGATTCTCACTCATCATTTTCTCTATTAATCTATTTAGAGAGCAATACATATTTATCAATTCAACAACAAGATAGTCAATGAATTAAAAAGAAATTCTATTTAGAGAGCAATACATATTTATCAATTCAACAAGATAGTCAATGAATTAAAAAGAAACGACCGGGTATAATTTTAATCGTTTACCACTGAAGCATCGGAATTAATAATGAATAAATAAATGAATTACCTTTAGTGGGCCCTTTATGTGGTCATCCTGAACTTCCACTGTTGAAGAATCATGCCTAAATGTTACCTAGAGATTATAAATTTAATTAGACACATGCACACACACACACAACACCAAGTCTATAGTAAGGTGGCCTTCAGTATACTGCCCTGACCGAGTGGCTCAGTGGGTTCAAGTGTCGTTGTATAACCAAAAGGGGATGGGTTTGATTCCCTGTCAGGGCACATACCTAGGTTATGGGTTTGATCCCCGGTAGGGGTTTCTGTGGGAGGCAGCCGACTGATGTTTCTCTCTCACATCAGTGTTTCTCTCTCTCTCTTTTTCCTCTCTTTAAAATCAATAAAAGCCGTAACCGGTTTGGCTCAGTGGATAGAGCGTCGGCCTGTGGACTGAAGGGTCCCAGGTTCGATTCCGGTCAAGGGCATGTACCTTGGTTGCGGGCACATCCCCAGTGGGAGGTGTGCAGGAGGAGGCTGATCGATGTTTCTCTCTCATCGATGTTTCTAACTCTCTATCTCTCTCCCTTCCTCTCTGTAATAAATCAATAAAATATATATTTTAAAAAATATATAAATAAATAAATAAAATCAATAAAAACCATATCCTGCCCTGCTTGGTGTGGCTCCGTTGGTTGGAGCGTCATCCTGTGCAGCAAAAGATGGCAGGTTCCATCCCAGTTGGGGTGCATGCAAAGGCAGCCAATCAATGTTTCTCTCTAACACAGATGTTTCTCTCTCTCTTCCTCCCTCCCTCTCTCTAAAATCAATTTTTTAAAAAATCCTTGGGCTTAAAATATGTGTATATATTAATATATATTATATATATATACCATCTATATTAATCTAACTTCATTCCAATTAAAATACTTCTAAATCACAAATAATGATTTTTTCCAGGTATTTTCATAGCCATTACTCCTAGAAACTAAACTCATCTTGCAGGAGAAAATTATTAAATATACTCACCCAAGTTTAAATAGTAAATACTGGACATATAATTTATAAAATCTACATAGACTGTACCTTGACTTTGACAAGTCTCTTTGCTGTCTTGATCTTGGCTTCACAGAAGGCTCCTCTGTACTTAGCACTCACATCAGTGCCCACTGTCAGGTAGGGAGGCTCATCCAGGGCCTAAAAATGCAAACCAATTAGATTTAAGCTCTGATTCTTTCCCACAGTCAGACCTCAGAATGGCAGAGCAAATCTTGTTATAGCTATAAAAGCTGTGATAACTATGTATTTGTTAACAAGTACAATCTGTAAAATACACTAATTTAAAGATAACTACAATATATATATCAAAGTCTACTTAAATGTACTAAATGTATATGATATAAAATATAAAGGCGTCTTTTTCTATTAAAATATACATGGTTCATAATATGAATTTGCTCAATCACAAATATATACCATTCCTTCACACCCCCTCCATCCACCATCCATTCAAATATATATTTACTACATGACCATGAAAAAGCAGATTCTTAAAGCTCAAAGTCAGAGAAAATTTCTTCTTATAGGCTGTATCTTTACAAGCACCCAAATTCAGAATACCTAGACAACTTTTAGACAGAATGGCATAAAAGGGGCAGGAGGAATTACATGTATTCAAACTACAAAATCCAATCTGGGAAGTCTCCAATAAAACTTAGTCAAAATGTCTCAAATGCTTTAAGGCATGGGTTCACTGTCTGTTTATCCATCAACCTTAACTAATATGTGAGGTTTCCCCACTTGTTGATTTAGTTTTTAACAGTCCTAATGCAGCTGCTCTGACTTTTTACAATCAGGTATACTTGTACATAGGATCTGTATTTCTAAGGAATTCTGCTTATATTAATCAAGTCCATAGCCAAAGAAAGATTATGTAAGTAGCTTTTCCCAAAGTGTTTCACGAGAAATACTAATATCCGAAGAAGCTCCACCAAAAAAAAAAAAAAAGAAGGAAAATTTGGGAAAACTGGTTTACTGAATGAATTCCCACTCTGCCTCATCATTTCCCAATCTGGTTTGTCCAAAGAACCTCTTATTTTTTCTTCCTATTAACGTCTATTACCTTCCCATTAATATCTATTACCATTACATTTCATAAAACGTAAGTGGGAAAATACAGTTATACAGCAACAAATAATGCAAAAATCATTTTCATTTGGATCTTAAAGTAAATTCACTCCTAACAGCTGTGGCTAGCATTTCCAAAAACATATTTATTTATTTATTTATTTATTTATTAATTCTAATGCTATGTGCCTGGCTGGTGTGGCTCAGTGGATTAAGTGTTTGTCCCCTGGACCAAGAGGTTCCGGGTTTGATTCCCGATCAGGGCACATGCCTGGGTTTTGATCTCGATCCTCAGTAGGGGGCATGCAGGAGACAGCAGATCAATGTGTCTCTCAGTGATGTTTCTATCTCTCTCTCCCTTCCTCTCTATCTAAAAGTCAATAAAAATGGCCCTAACCAGTTTGGCTCAGGGAATAGAGCGTCGGCCTGCGGACGCAAGGGTCCCAGGTTCGATTCCGGTCAAGGGCATATACCTTGGTTGTGGGCACACACCCAGTAAGGAGTGTGCAAGAGGCAGCTGATTGATGTTTCTCTCTCATTGATGTTTCTAACTCTCTATCCCTCTCCCTTCCTCTCTGTGAAAAGTCAATAAAATATATTTAAATAAATAAATAAATAAAAGTCAATAAAATGTATTTTTTAAAATTATAATGCTATGTAACAAAACTGCCCATATTTATATCAAATAATTTTAATAACTTTTTTTTAAAGGTGAAGGTATTACATAAACTAAGACAAGGGTGGTTGTCCCTCTCTCTAAAATCAATAAAAGCATAAAATAAAATAAAAACACATAAACAGCAGATGCCAGTATAATTGTGTATATATATGAGGGGGTGTATAAATATTATCCCATATTCAATTCAGAAATAATCATGTTGCATTCTATAGCAAGAGAGGTTAAGAGTTGGTGGGATGCTCCATAAGGAAGTGTATACCACAACCCTTTAGACTGCAGCAGTTTTCAACCTGTGGGTCGAGACCCCTTTGGGGGTCGAACGACCCTTTCACAGGGGTCACCTAAGACCATCCTGCATATCAGATATTTACATGATGATTCATAATAGTAGCAACATTCCAGTTATGAAGTAGCAACGAAAATAATTTTATGGTTGGGTCACAACATGAGGAACTGCATTTAAAGGGCCAGAAGGTTGAGAACCACTGCTTGAGAGTGACAGAAAGATAACCAAGGCTATACACCTATTCTGAGGCTACTGTACTTTGGTCCAACACAGAGAGACACAAAGAACTGTGAGCCGATTAATTAAGACTCTTTTGACCAACACCCACCCTGATAGGTAGAACATGTATACAAACAACCAAAAACAAAACAAAAAAAACCTCTTACCTTCTCTTTTTGCTCTGCTTCTCTGATTTTGGTCAATAATATAGACCATCTCAGAGGCTAAAATAAAATGTTTTATGTAACACCTCCATGCCAAGAGGAAATTAAACTACTAAATTACCATCCCTTTGTTTAGCAAACAGAACAGTTTCCTAGTTGTCAAGGCAACAGCTACCTCACAGTTATCAGCACTGCTTAAACAATTATTTTTCTAGTCAATCTACCAAATGCCCTCCCTGGCTCCTAAAAAACACTGAATTCCCTGAGAACACTAAAAAGGATAAGCGATTTTGAAATTAGCTATTGGTGAATACTAATCCTTCAAGAAGCCAAAATGCCAAGGAAACGTGTTAAGTGCCCAAATGAGTCAACAGTAATCTCCATTGTGCCCTGGGCTTCAGTACACCAACACATAAAATGCTTTAAAAAAAGAGAATAGCTGAATCAATTCTCCAAGTGGCTGACTAATGTTGACATTACCTAGAAAATATTCAGTTATTCAAGATGTGTTTTTTTAAAGCAAAACATGCTAGATGACATTTTATTGAGATAGGTTCTTAAAAAGAGTAAGCATTCAAACTACTTATTAGGCAGTGCCAATGCAGCCAGGAGAATCAGAAAACAAAAGTACTAAATTTGATGCTAAAACCTCCAGTAAATAAATGTATTTAAACATACAGATAAATCTATAAAAGCAACTTTTTGTAAATGACAATCTCAAAGAGGCATTAAAAACCACAATGGAGAGAATTCCAACAGATGAATGAATGACAACTACTCAGGGCTGGCAGGGCCCCAGCACTCATTCACCCACCCCCACGGCTCACCATCTAGACCAGCTTCAGGTGACTAAATGCCACATCAGAAGAGTGATCTGAGCTAGAGGAGAAAAGTGTGTTTTTGCCCTACATAAATAAACAGGGCTAGAAGTGGATGCTTACCCAGAAAATAACTATCTATAGTGGTTCACCTAATCCAATAACCACCCCCTAGGCTTGGAAGCAAAATTTACTTTTCCCTTGAAAGAATCCTACCTAGGCAAGCCAGCAGCAAATTAGAAGCAAGGACAAGTATTTCGTAGAACCCTCAGCAACAGGAAGGGCTACGATAAAGGTTTGAAATGAGAGCAACCAGTTCTTGGAATAAAGAAATCTGGTTTTCACCTTACATTAAACATTTTGTTTTAAAGGATTCCATTAAGACAAAAATAACAGGTTTTACTCTTAATCTGAAAATTACAACAAAAGAAACAAACTGCCTGGCCAGTTTTGCTCAGTGGATAGAGCATCAGCCTTCCAACTGAAGGGTCCCAGGTTCAATTCCAGTCAAGGGCACATCCAGAATTGCAGGTTTGATCCCCAGTAGGGGGCATGCAGGAGGCAGCCAATCAATGATTCTCATCATTGATGTTTCTATCTCTCTCTCCCTCTCCCTTCCTCTCTGAAATCAATATATATTTTTAAAAAGAAACAAAAAAATTAGAAATAAAAACAAAACTTGTCACTATATTACCTTGAAAGCCTAAATTCACAAGAGTTTACACATTCTTTCCATAGAATAACAATAACTCCAATTTATTGAGAATTTATTATGTAGTAGATCCTGTTATTACGTTTAGCCACTCCCAACAACCCCATGAGGTAAGTACTAAGACCATTCCTCATTTTAGACAAGAACACCAGCCTTCTTAGAAAGTTTAAGAAAACTGCCCACAACCTAGTAAGCAGAGGAGTTCCAATCGAATCCTAAGCAGTCTTAATTAAAGATCCTTATTCTATCGGTTTATAGCAGGAGTGACAGGCTTTTACCAAAACAATATAGCTAACGTGTACTGACTGCTAAGAACTATGCCAAGCACGGCATAAGACATTTTAAACGTTATTTCGTTTAGTACTTACACAATCATAAGGTAACTATTATCCGCATTCTGCAAAAAAATGAAACTGATATCTACTTTCATAAATGACCTTATCCAAACTTCAACAGTAAGGAACAGAGAGAGCACTAGAAACAAGATCTCTCTCAAAAAAAGATGGTTTTTATACATTCAAGTATAATTTTTACTATCAGTATAAAGTGAATCTTTTCTTTGACAGTTTATAATCTTCATTTTGGCTATTAATGACAAAACGTAAGTACGATTTTTCAATGAAGATTATTAAAGTTATTAATGACTATGCTTTCATAAGCAATTATACTGCAAGTTTATCAAATTAGGAGATAGCAGTCTGTTACTTGTAAAACCTTGACACACAGGACTTCAAATAACCTAGAGTTAAGTCGCACTGCCAAAAATTTATCTATAAATTAGAAGAAAATGGCTTAAATAAGAAAAGTCTGCATAAAGTATCCACTTCACTGTGCAAGATATAAAGTGACGCATTTTAATAGTATAAAACTATATACAGAATTAGTATCCTTTTAATTGATAGCTAAATTTATAATTTAAAAATGATACATATACTATTTTCTGTAAAATCTTCCTCCTTACAAATCATAATTTTGGCCCAGAGGATCAACCCACTGCCAACACCATGTTAAACTGGAAAAACACTCACACCAGGCAGAGTGATGCAGGATTTTATATGTATCTCTAACTGTACCCTAAAGCTAAGTATATCCTTGCCGCAAATGACCCCATTAGGCAAATAACTGAATGTGGAAAAGGTAAGAGCAAACATACATTAACTTTTATAATAGTTTCATAAATAATACCCAGTGT